TGGTGCCAGAGGAAGTTGCAATGGGAGCGGTGGCTGGGTTCTCTGGTAAGTGTGACATGTGAGCATTACTAGGCATTTCATCCTGCCAGGCTGCAGTTGCTGCTCGCCAGGCTGCTGCTCAGTGGGAATGCTTCTGTGGCGGTGGTTTGTGCTCTGCTCCTACGGGCTTTTAATGACCGGCTCAGACAACCAGGCTTTTTTTTAAGCTTTGCAAGGCTATCTGCTGATTGTATAATTTAATTTGTCAAGGAAAAAAACGTGATAAGCAGAAGCTCTAACTGAAGAGGAGAATCAGGTTGGCACAGTGACAGATGTTTGGATAAAGAAGTTGGCTCAGAGAAGATGTACGGAGTCTGATTTTTTTTTTTTTCCCCTCCTTTTTTCCTCTCTCCCTCAATCTGAATGAGGACTATCATGGGAACTGCATTCACATGGTGATCAAAAGAAACACTTGAGTGATGAACTGCTTTTGCAGAAGTCCAAGGCAGTAATTTGAGCATTTATGTGCAGTAGCTAGCTTGTTTTGCTGAAGCATTTTTCCTCAACAGTATTTCTGCCTAACGCGTTCCCTGATGGAGAAACCACAGCTACTGCCCGGTGAAGGAGAAATGAACGCTCCGCATTGCTTGCGTCCCTGATGGAGTAACGCTGTCTGCGTTGCTGTCGTTTGGGGAGGTTGGATTCAACCGGCAATACTATTCAAGGAGTTCATTGTCCCTGTGGTCTGACTCATCGCATGTAAATGTACTGCAGCCGTGCTGTACGTTGCAGATATTTCTCTTGCATGGGAAAGAATTATTTTCCTCTAAGCAGGTCCTGAATAACTGCTGGAAACAAGATGCATTTTTCTGGCTGGACTGTTTTTGACGTTGAGAAAGGAAGCTGTAGAATGACAGGATGATCAGAAGGCACGTTTGTTTTCAGTCACCAGAAAGCCTGCGACAGTTGATTTAAAACTGACCTTGCAAAAGTGGGTATAGCTGCGGCCGTCTCTCTCAGGGCAATTGTTCCTTCTTTTGGGGCAATTGTTCCTTGTTCTGTCCTTGATAGGACAGTGTCGTGTCTTCTGCAACAATGATTTCACTGTGGGGGTAGAAGGACGCCGTGGAAGTTGTGACATTAACAAAGACAAATTTGCTTGTGAAAGGACAGCTGTGTGCGACAGTGAGTGCTGTTCGAATGGATTTGGATCTTGGGATATTTTTATCAGCTGTTCCACAGTTTCATTATTGTGGTTTCGATGCCTAGGGAAATTTTATTTTTTAAAGAACAACTTTTTTTTCAGCATTGTTTTGAACATCTCAGGGTGTTTAAATCTGAAAAATGAGATGTAAGGGGGGATTGGAATGTCCTTTTTTAAATGCTAATATACCGTGGTAGCACTCACAAGTTTGTGAGGGTGTGTGACACAGGTGAAAATATTTCCTCTATGGTCCCTGTTGTGATACCTGCGGTCTGGTTCCAAAAGTACTGTTGCTGGCATTTTTTTGTTTGCTTTTGCTTCCTCAAACGGATCGAATGAGTCGAGTCTGTATTGTTGTTTTGGAGGAGGTGGAAGATGATTCTCCCACATTTATTTCCAAATTACCTCAGGAAAATATATCTTTACGTCCATCGCCCTCTGGAAACGTGCTGGTAAGGCATGTTGTTTGTTGGCATAGTTCCTGCTTATAATACTGTCGCAAATATCAATAGTAATTTTCCTAAGATTAACATGAATATGCATGATGTTGAGGCAAGACAAGGTGATAAAACTGCCTAAAGAGGGGGAAAAGCTGAAACTTAGTTTTAGAATTAATATCTGCAAGGGCTTATTCTTTTTTGTGTAACTTTATTTATGGTGCAGCAGTAACAGATCTCAAGTCTTGTATAACAGCAGAGGAGTTTTAGAGGTCTTGGTAAACTGTATTTGAGGTAAATGACTTTTCACCCCCGACTCCACTCCTCATTCCTCAATGGTAGATTTATGCAGTACCCCTTTGGAAACTGATGTGATGATTGTATTGCAATAATATGCTGTGTTTATTTTGAGAACTGATAGAGTATATAGTGTGCATCAAGCCAGAGCAATTCTAAGCTAAAATAAAAAACCAGCATAAGTCATAATCTTGATGTAACTGTTAGATTCAAGTTACCACTTTTTGGAAGTGATCAATGCTGGGGACTATGCTTTTATTGCTTTAAATACTTTTATTTTGTCAAGTGACTGACTTAAATCTTGCTAGAATACTTCAGCAGCTTTTCTTACTTAGTAAGAAATACTGCTATATTTAGTAATAGATGTGTGTGAGTGTGAATTTGTTGCCATACTTATCTGATGCACTTGGCTTTCCTTCTCTGTCTAAACAGGTGAAAAACTTGCAGTAACTGTAGTCACTTGCTAATGTAAAAGGGGTTTATTTGCTTATATTGTATAGCATTTGCAGCACATAACAGCCCTAGTTCTGTTGTGAGGAGTTCACTTTTCAGCAGTTACAAGCTGGTCTTCTGGGCTCTTTTTTGTATTTTACTGACGTAGAGTATGTTTGTGTGTTTGAGGTTTTTAAAACTTGCAATTTCTTCAAGTCTAAATAATCTTTCAGGTTTCTTTATTTCACTGCCTGGGATGTTTTATTTTGACATCATCTTGTGTTTGTGTTAGGTATCAAAAAACACATGTGTATCACTAAAAACTAAAATGGGCTTGTATTCTAAAATGTGGGTGTTTTTCTTCATTTCAGCCACCATTGGTTCAAGCTATATTTAATGGAGATCCTGATGAAGTTCGCGCACTGATATTTAAGAAAGAAGATGTTAATTTTCAGGTAAAAACAAACACCATTAGCATCATTAGCTTTAAATACATTTTAATTTTGTTTTGATACAGCTTTCTGCTATACTAACAGATTTAAAACTTTGTTAATTCATGAGATGTAAATTTTACTGCTTTTATGTAATAGGCAAAGTAAAGTCTATATACACACTTAATACTGTGAAGTAAGAACATAGCTTTGTACATTTGTGTTGATAGCAAAGACCTAAGCCTGTATTCCTTTCAAATGTTAGTTCAGCAGTGCTTGGGTAACTGAAAAGCTTGTTTATGCAGTTACATCAGACTTTTTAGGAGTTAGACTGGTTAAATGTGATGCTATGTGGACTTTGATTCTTTTTAAATTAAATACAGCATATAGTATACATTAGACAATTATAAGAAAATAGTTCAGGGTTTCAGTAGGTAGGTTTGATAGTGGATTTTAAAAAGGGGAGCTTAATGATTATATTAATAAGTAAAAATGAGAAATTGTGTTTGTAAGTCCTATTTGCTGTGCTGCAAACCCAGACACAGCAGACTTAAAAATTGTACTGAAACGAAATTGAGTTTGTTCCATTGGGTGAAATTCAAGGTTTGAACAGCATGCAGTTACTGTATTTACTTTCTATTAAAATTCTAATATGCATGCTTGGCACTATGCAAGATAGCATAGCATAAACTCTTTACATTGATTTGAAATTACTTTGAATATTAAAGCAGACTGACATAAACCATATAGGGCTTAAACACTATGGGTATATACGTAGCTGCTTCTCCTCCAAATGCATCGGAAGTGATGCTAAAGAGCAGAGGCTAACATCTAGATGCCACATAGTAGAGAGCGTAAGACCATGATAATTGTGTATACTTTCTTCTTCAGAGATGTAGACCGAAAGCAAATACTTAGTTTGGTATGTGTATTTTGACATTTAAAAGCATTCTGCAGAATTTATATCTGATCAATGCTAGCTGCAGTATAAGGGAGCCCTCCCATTGTCTTGAAGAGCTTGAGTAGGACCCTGTATAAGTGAACTTGCTGTCAAAGCTAAAGTTTTGCTTGATAAGGTTGGACTTTTTTCCTCTCCTTTTTCAGTAGTTTTGCATGTTCTTAAGCAAGATTGTATGATGGATTATGTAATATCAAAAGACTTAATCTTCTGTTTAGTTATGAGAGCATTAGCTGTGTATCTTTCCAGTCTCTTCATATGTATGCTCTGGTCACGTTGCCATTTTTATTTTTAAAAGCTGATTAGTCTGTGTTGTTTCATTTATATTCCTCCATGTGTAAGTTTGGTTTAGCATTCATAGTTATATTGCCTGTAAACAAAGTTAGGTTAGTAACTTTCTGCTTTTTTGATTATCAATTACGAAAGCCTCTGCTAAATTTTAGTGTGTATTTGGTAGTGGTTTGGTTTTGATTTTTGTTCTATCTCAACTTTTGTTACTTGTCCGTAAATACAAAGTCAGCAGATGTGCTTAAGTAGGAAAGCGTGTAATTGTTTGATGTCTTTGAAGAGGGTTACTTCAGACTGCCAGGTAGTTAACAGTGAAGAATAATATTGTAGATAGAATATTTAATATCTGGAGGTCATTAAATTGTACACCTTTGGGTTTTTTATTTTATTTCTTTCTGTGGATACATCTCCCTTTAACAGAACGTGTGCGCATCTTAGGCTGGTAACACCGAAGGTGTGTTTAGAATCCATCCAGAACAAATACGCTATTTCTTCAAGCCACCTTCTTCAGCATAGGCAGATGCTTATCACACATGACCATTTCTTCTTACTGTGGCACTCCTAGTCCTACTAAGTATTTCATGTTGTATTCACATATATCCCTTGAAACACTGTTTGATGGGACTAAAAAAGCATATAAATTCTCCCATTGTTTGGTAGAAATGAAGTAAACTGCCTAGTGGATTTTGCTTTGTGTCTGTGCAGGTGCGTTTGTTCTTTCCCTTAGGTTTGTCATTGCTGGATGTACTTGGCTGCAGATAATAAATCCTTACATCATCTAGATCCAAAGTTGTCCTTAGTTATGTGTCATAAATTGGTGTGGACAGAAGGAGGGGAAAAAGTGAAGAAAATTAAGTGGTTGTGTATTTCCTAATAAAGTGAAGGATCTTGATAAACTCTTTTGACCATTGTGGATTGTATTAGACCAGTGTCTATGTTGGTTTTTTTTCCACTTCGCTCTCCAAGTACTTCAGTACAGTTGTTTGAATTCCGGAGTCATTCCCTCTAATGCCTCTGCAGAGACATTTCCCTCTCTCAAGAGCAACTAATTATTTTGCAGTGTGTATTCTAATAGTTGAGATTCCTTCCTTCCTCCCTTCCCCTGAGCTCGGGCTGGACTCTGTAACTGGAGACCTAGCAGGGTTCTGCAAATTGATTTTGCCCAGAAGTGAACTGAAGATAAGCTGTTATAGGTCTTTGTTGTGACAGTGACATTCATCTAGGAAAGTTGTTAGTATCTTGATGAGATGTGGGTGGTTTTTTTCCTTCTGTTATCATACAGCTTCATTTACATTTTTACTTTTGGGGCATGTGATCTTTAACATTAATCACAATTGGCTTAATACTCTTTTTAAAGCGAAGTGAGTTGAGTCTATGTGTTTGACTTCCCAACGCTAGGCTGTGGTAACCCCTTGATATTATGATACTAGCTAAAGATTGCACGGAGGTTGGACTGCATTAGAGCATTATTCTGAAAACAGATGTCTTCTACCATAGTGTTATATTTAGAAGGATTCTGAGATGGGTGGCCTTTCATAACATGGTTGTTGTGTGCGACTGTAAGATGATGCATTGATAGCAAACAGGCTTTTTCAGGAAGATTGTTCTCTGTTCATACCACAGCAGCCTCTTTGAGTCACAGGCTTAGTCTAGATTTAGAAAGTATGTATTGTATTCCATTCTGCAGTTGTAATCTTTTGTGAAGAAAGAGCAAACTGAGTGTATCCCTAGCTGCTTAAGCTGGGATAGAAAAATGGTTTTACCTTCTCTGCAAGTTGGAATTGTGCAGCTTTTTTGTAAGACAAAACCATTTTATAGGAACTTTGTTCAAATGTATTATTTGGAAAGTGAACTCTCTTGAGGCTCCAATTAATGGAAAAAACAGAGGGGAAGGGGTTGCTTCTCCCTCCCCTTCCCCAAGAAAGCTTGAGAAACTGTAGCTGCCTGTTTTGTGAATCAGGCTTAAATCACACAGATCACATATGTCAAGCCTGATACAATTTCTGTTGTATGCATGGCTCTTGCTATGCTCTGTGTGTTCGTGTATATGTACCTACAGGTTTTAAAAAATTATTACTATTTCTTGGTACCATCCTGAGCTTTTGGGACTTGACAGTATGGAAAATCTGGTGTGATGACTGACACTTTTAAGATCTCTTTATTAGTTAATGGGGATCCCCAACATTTCCTGCTCTTGCTGATTAGATTAGTATGGCCAGTCTGAATTTAATATACTTTTCAGCAGTTACTTCTAGCTAACTAAATGATTTCAGCATTGCCTTTAGTAAATCAGGATTTTTATGATTTGGAGGCCTATTACTGTTGCAAACTATGCCACTTCTGTTTGTACTTCTATGATGTATGTTCAGTTTAAAAGATCATGAAAAAGGAGTATTTCTTCTCAGCTATTTGTTAAAGATATAATTCTGTGTGGGGAATACCAGCTCACTGTCAAAAGTGATTTAAAGGTTGCAGATCTGACTATTGAAATGATTGTTCAAAATCAGAACAATTTTTCCTCCTCCTAGGCCTGTTGGGATAGTATTTCTTGCCATGGAAAGTGATACTTCAGGTAACCCAATATGCAGTTTCTATAACCCGATTGCACTTGATCTTAGCCGGGGGTATAAACATCTGATCCTCTCTGGAACTGGTGTCAGTGTGCCCCTTGCTCTTCTCACGCTAAATCCAAGCAAGCGCTGTTTTGGAGGAATCCCGAAAATCACGCAGGTCTCTCCCAATGTTCAAAAGCTCTCACTGCTCCTATTTAAAATAGTGGTATTGACATATGCGATTAGTGACTTAAACATGAAACACCTGTATCTCACTGCTCGTTGTGCTTTGTGGGATTAAAATAGATTTAAACTATGAAACATGTTTTAAAGCTGCTTTATGTGTGAGTTGATGGGGGTTTTCAAACATAAAATGCTGGATGGGAAAATGAAATTCCACTTACTGTACTAGGGACTGTAGCAATCAAGTTTATCTGTACAGTTTCTATTCTGGACTATCGGCCATCCAGCACAGCTCTTAATTTAATGGCTCTTTTCTATACTAAGTAACCAAAAAATAAAAGCTCACCTCTGCTACTGTTTTGGGAAGAAGGGAAAACAAAACAAAACTGTAGAATCAATCAATCTTGTCCGCCTTCCCTAACGCCCACCTGTATTAGATCACAATGAAGTGTTGCCCATAAATCCCAAGTTTTGTTCTAGGACTGACAAGGGGTGTGATCTGGTAGCACCGAAGTGCTAGGTACAAGTAGAAGGGCTAAGTGTATGTATCTGACTCCATTATTTTGAGCAATAGGGTTGCTGTGCTGTTGCAGTAGAGATGTGGGCTCCATTCCCAGTCCTGCTAAATGTGGGTTTGCATAATGTCTTCTTTATGTTATTTGCGTACAAGGAGAAAGTTGCTGGGTGTTGTTCTAGGATAAGATACAACATCTTATTTGATTTCCTGTTGATTTTTTAATTTATCTTGCTCTGTGGGTCATGGCATATACTGAAAGAGGAGGAAAGTTGGTTTGTCTAGGACTTCTCACACAGCATTGGGTCTGAGTACCAGGAGAACTAGATTATCAAGGGTCTCAAATATCCTAGTAATTTAGGAATGAATAATGAAAATGAAAGCACAGTTTAAAAACCAGGAAAGATTCTTTGTGATGCTGGTATTCGTCAGCAGAGTCCTAAAAGACTTAAATTGTGGGGTAACTTTTTTTTTCTGCAGGCTTGAGAGTGCAGTGTAGAGCAGGAAAGCCTGAATTACTTGGCTGAAA